CTCTTGGATGGTCGACTTGAGGTTGTCTTTGGTGACCTCGATAGGTCAGGCGTCAGGCTTTCACCCTATGCAGGGGGTGACTAGTTTTTTGGCAGGTACGTTGGTACTTTCGTTGAGCCTAGTCACCTGAACCTCGCCAGTGAACATTATGAACGCTGTCTACTCCTCCTTGGCCCTCACGAGTCACCAGCAGTCTGTCTTCTCTCGATCACAGCCGGCCTGCAGCGTCGGAGGCTTTCTAAGATCTGCTATGACCTACTCCGACACAATCCACAGCGTGATGGACCTGACCATCTCATATCGAAAATGACGACCACCATGAGGCATCTGGCAGAGGTTCCTGAGCCCGCTCGCCCATTCGCGAAGTCAATCTTGACCGAGTGCATCTCGAGTCTGCGTCGAGAGCCCCTCAACGTTGAGCCGCTGAAACTAGCCGGTTTGGTAATGGTGGATGAGCCCGCGCGGGCGTCTCCGGGGACTTGGCACTGGTTGGTGTTGTTGATCGCGGCATTCACATTGTCGGTTACGGAGGAGGAACGTGGGCGGGTGAAGTCGCTGATCTTGTCAATAGGAGAAGCATTGGCGCTGGAGCCTGCTATAGAGGCTAGTCGTCTCTCGAACTCCGCCCTATGGTGCTCTCTACTGCTCTGTCTCCAATTCATGGGCTCACATTGGCATGGTGACGCGGACGTCGATGGGATCGTGAAGGCTCACTGTGCTGAATACGCGGTCAGTGCGGCAGAGGAGCCTTGGGCCTCGGCTGTGGAGACTGATATTTTCTGCAAGAGCATGCAGCCTGCTAAGCTCAGTAGGTATCCTAGCGCTACTATGGCGAGTCGACTTGTTGAAATTTGTCTACACATCTCTACAAAGCCTAGGGCTCGTGGCGTGTTATCGATTCCGAAAGAATTGAATCTGAAGAAAACCTCTGAGCCGACGGTTAAGAACCAGTTAGAGAATAGTAATAGTAAGAAGACTGCAAGCGACCAACAAGAAAAGCTTGGACGGTCGAGACTAGTCCTCGATCAGAGTTCCTCAAGAAGTGGACGCCGTGCTGATAGATGGGTGAGCTGGGAAGGGTCGTACATATCACAACGCATTTGCTCTTATGCCAGGGAAACCTGTTGTTGGGAGACTCTGTGGATAGAAATACTGCGAGGGTGCGCTGTCACGCTCACGGTAGAGATGAGATGGCGTCCGAGGCGGATTATAAACCGCTTGTGCTGATCGATGGGCCTAATGTGGCTAACAGACATGGTGGGCAGCAGTTCACGTGTAAAGGGTTGCAGATATGCGTCGACTATTACGTTTCTAGAGGCCATGAGGTGAGCCTACAGTCAATGACCTGTTGAGGTAACATCAGGCTTCTTGTTTCTCCGCAGGTTTTGGTATTCCTTCCGGACTATCTGGTCAATCGCAATGAGCTATTTAAACTTCGTAATGCACAGAAGATGAGAGTTCAGACGATGCACGGCATCAAGGCGGCGCCAACCCATATACCAGTAGATAACATCGGTTTTCTACTCAAGCTACAGACTCAGGGACGACTGGCACTGACCCCGTCTAAGGTGAGATCTCCCTCGCGTGCTCAGGGTTCAGAAAGTTTTTTATTTCAGGATTATGATGATTCCTATTGTCTACAGTATGCTCATAAGAAGGATGCTGTTATAGTCTCCAACGACATGTACCGCGATTGGGTGAAGAAGCAACCTTCGTGGAGGAAGGGCGAGTCGATTCAGTGGCTGCGTACGCACGTGGTCAGCTATACTTTCGTTAGAGATGAGTTCATGCCCAACCCAGATTTTACCATGCCGGAACCGCGGACCGAACCGCCAGTGTGAAATATTTTGATGCTGAGATACATCTCAAGTGATGGGAAGTAGAACTATGAAGTCTTTGACTCTAAGGGCGCCAACCAGGGTGATTCACACGGCTCTAGTTTACTACTGCTGTGGTTAAATGTCTATCCTCGCTGGAGGACTGATGACGTTTGTACCGCATTTGATAACAGTGTATGAGGGGAACAACATGGTCGAATGCCGTAGGCGATCAATGGTTGCCAGCAATGTCGTCGATGACAACAAACGAGAAGTAACTTGTATTATTTTCATTATTTCGTCTCCCAATGATATCGTCATATTCGTATATAAATACACCGATATGTTGATACGGTGCTGTTGCGTTGATTATATACAGGGTGGTGCGAAAGAAAAGAGCCCATCTCTCGTAATTTCGCGGCAATTGACAGTTCGTGAACAAAAAAATCGAAAAAGCCGGTAGACAAAACCGGCACGGCTCTTCCCTATGTAGCCGATGTTGCATTTGGCGTTACCTCAGTGAACACTACGAATATCAGAACCGTTCATACAGCGATGGAGAGAGCTTGATGAGGGCTTTCATGGTACCATTTATGTTCACGAACTATCACTTGCCGCGAAATTACGAGGGGTGAGCCTTTTTTTCGCACCACCCAGTGGTACGATCTGCGTCAGTACTACAACTCAGTATAGAAAAGGGGAAGGAAACTAGCGAGCAATGTCACGAATGTTAGAATGGTATGGTTCAAAGCGATTCGGCAGATAAGTCCAACCTCATGTCTTCTATAGCCAATTGGATGCTTTCAACCTGAGGAAAGGTATCTCAACGCGAACTTGTGCTATCAGCACCTCCTTCCTGAAATTCGCAGTTTTTGCATTCCAAGCTGCTGCTGTACGTGTCAGCCGATGATGATCTGAACCCTTCTCAGCCAGCCGCTCCAGTTCGGTCGACTGTTGCGCTAAAGTTGTCAAGCATGCATTCAGCTGAGTTTGTGCCTACATGGTGTAATCACAATGATAACAACCCTAATGTGGTCAGCCTCATACGAAGTCACCTTATCAGAAAGTTTCTGCCATTTCTTCTCTGATATCTCGAGCTCGTCGTTGCGTTGCTGCAACTGTAGCATTTGTTCGGACTGTTGTCGCAGCTGATCGCCCAGATTCAAACTCGTGTTGTAACTGTCAATCAAAACTCATGGATTATGATTTCAAAGTGGCCGACATTACGTATCGTCAAGCTGCTTGGAGAGCCGCTCCAGCTGCTCTACTCTAACTTTGAGTTGAGCTCGCCAGGTGCAATAGTGAAGTTTCTAAGGCGAGAGACACCCCTAGCAAGGAGCAGGAACGATCGCCTGTTCGCTACCTTAACAGCCTCTGTTATTTCCTGTCCCTCAATATCATCAGAAGAGTCTGAAGTGATGCTAGAAAAACTAGAGGAGCCCCTCGGACGGTCCAACGATGAAGCCCGTCGACTATGGCCGGACGGGGACAGAGCCGAAGCACTACACGACGGCTCTGACGAAGACCTGATCACGGGAATCGGCATTCGGAACTACAAGTGAGCTCGCACAAAATTCGGCGACTTGCCTTTTCAATATGTCAGTGTTCTCATTGAAGGAGTCCTGCTCTACACCGTGATCACTCGAATGTACACTCCGTGGTGAGCTCGACGACTCGCTAGCCGAATCAGCCTCGCTAGCCTAGAGGGGTAGTCACAGAGAGCTTCCAAGGAACACCTCGTCTTACCTCCGCTCTGCGCCTCCCATCACCCATCTTGTCGTTGTGTTTCCTCAGAAGCCTCAGCTCTTCCTCCAACCGCATACACGTCGTCAAGAGTTTATCATGACGATCTTGCAGGCAGCTGAATTCGTCCTCCTTTGTGGCGGGACTTGGAAAACGACCGGCCACCGCAGAGCTGCTAGTGCTGGTCATCGGCTGCGCCTGAAGGCCAACACTTCGGGGGAAAATTAGAAGTAACTATTTCTCACATCTGCCAGTTTCTGATTAAAAAACACAATATTTTCATCCTTCATTTTCGCTTGTCCCTGCCAATAACTTGCTATCAGCTTAGACTGCTGCGATGAGAACCTAAAACAACAATAAGAGCCTCTTCTCAAGATGTTATTCATACTTATACAAATCCTGAGCACACACTAGTTGCCTCTCCTGAGCCCCAATCGTTCGCCTTGCATCCTCGAGATCACTAGAGATTCTCTTTGACATAGTCGAGACATCATCTCTCACCGACGACAACGACGCCTGACAACAACAATTTACTGAATTCTACTGCCAGTAGGAGGCGTCTTGGACACAACGCCTCCATGAACGATCTCAAAACCCAAGGAACGGTAGTCGCCACTGGCGCAAGACCGACCCACGAAGTCGTTGTAGTAGCGAGACTAATATCGAAGTACTGGAATAGTTACTTCTCGATAGGCGCAGGAGTAGTAGGAGGTGCTCGCTATTACCTACTCTCAACTGTTCCAAATCCTCATCCCGAGCCTTCAGTCCTTCCTCGAGGTCCTTTTCTGTTACCGATCCTGGAGTGTCTCCGGCTACTTGGGAAGCATCCGATGTATTATGAAAAATCAAACGCATTTCTCTACAATTCAAAACATGAAACTACACCCCTACTGGTGCAAGGTCTCCATGTATTTGTTGAGGAGTCGTTACAATATCGAGACTTAACTCAATCCGCGCCGACACGTTAGTAAACTGTTGAAACTTAGCAGAGAGATAGACCCTCTTCGAGGAGACAATGGACAAAGCCGTCGATGGACGGAGCAAAAGCGACAGTTAGAGTGGCAGCCCTAACCCTTTAAAAGTACAATACAGTGCAGTTAGACTCCTAACTTATACAAGAGATTCTGCCATCTACAGCCACTTGAAGTAAAGATAAAAGTCGCATATTTGAGTAGTTCACCAGTGGGGCGATGTGGGAAAACCAATGAGGTGATGACGATATTACAAAGTAAGTGTACATGCCTAGAGGATATACCCCTGACGTAGCATATCCTCAAAAGATAGGTACGACCTGAAAGATCCAATTCCCACCGAGGGCTGATGAATGTGTCTTATTACAGGCTTCGTTGACGATGAGGGAAGACCTCCGAGGTAGAGGTGGCCATCCAACTGACCATCTTATCCAGCGTGAGTCGAGATGGATTATCCCACAGCCTACTACACCCTCCTGCCAGGGCATAGAGGCTTCGACCATCGAAGCACTTGAGGTCATTGTGCAGTTCGACATCGACAAGAGTGTCACCAGTTCGCTTGGATGGAAAGTTCGGGAAACGAAATTTAACCTGTAAGAAGAGCACTCCCCAATCCGACAGTTGCCGATACCAATCTCACTTGTTCATCGAAATAAACTTTTTTCGTCCGATCGTTCGATAGGGAGGCCTGTGTCGACTCCGACGCCGTGTCGTCAGAGCCCTCACAAGAAATTTCTGCCAACTTCTTCTTGTTGAACTCGGCGTTATACATCGCGTCAATCAAACGAGAGTTGAGAGATGACTCATCATCAGATACAACCTTATCGGCACCATTGAAGCGATGGCACGCAGGAAGGGAAGGAACAGGGAGCTGTTCAACGACATTCTGAGTGGCATAAGCAGATTAGGACCATCACATACAATTCGCCATACCGTCTTCACCTCCTCCTCCTCCCTAGATGCACTAAAATCGAGTAGCTCGGTAACAACCCTAGACGCTATGGATGACATAAATAACAGGCGGAAAAGTGGGGGAAAAAACTAAGGCATCGTCAACATCGGATACCTCATAAAGACATAAACTCAATACTCCTCCAACACGAGGACATCGCAATATACAACATAGCCATGAAGACCTATGCATAATCAAAGTGATTCCAGTCAAGCCATCGTCTTCCTATGAGCCGTCGCTCTCAGTCCCGGAGCTTCCGTCAGGATATCGGGCGGCACGATCGCTGGAAGCGAGGCTCGAGTTGAGGCCGTAGTCTTTGCTATCACAGTGTCGAGAAAAAGCCCCACTTCGTGATCTCGTTCATGGCCTTCCTCAGCGAACACTGGTCTCGGCGCTTGGTCTTGGGAAGATTTCCGCCTTAAATTCTCGAGGAAAGAATTCAAGTCTTCACCCTCGGTGGTCTCTGGTTTGCTGACTCGTCCCTCCTCGTTAGAGGGGACGCCAATTGCAGCAATGATACCCGTAGGGCTAGGTATTATGGGAAGCCTCGACTCAGCCGTAGTAGAGGGCTGGTAGTCCTCACTTTGAGAACTCACAGAAGAGTGGTATGAGTGATCCTGGGAACCTCCGAGCACGGACCCCACCAAAGTGGAGAATTCTGGGTTCTTCCGAGGGGCCTCAACCGCGAGAGCGCCCGAATCCCCAGAGACACGCTCCTTAGGAGATTTTGGTGTATCAGCACCAGCACCACCGACTGCTTTCTCGAACTGCTCATAGTGCGCCTTCAAAGCGGTTCCAAACCCCTTAACGGGTGCTAGGGAAGACAATAGTGCAGACCTACGAGACATTGATGATGATCTTTCTTCGCAGGCTATGCAGATAGCCTCACCCGAGTGCTGTGGAATTATCCTTCCGCTTGAAGCCATCTTCCAGCACAGACAATACGTCCTGCATTAACCAGGCTAACTGCTCCGCGACTGAGGAGCATTGGTCGGAACCCCAGGGGGCATATTCCGGACTTACTCTGCTTCATCTCATCCAGTTCGTCGCTCAACTGCTCGTTAGCACTCCGAGCAGACTCCAACTCAGCGACGCTCCTACCAGCGGCCTGAGACGGTAGCCCTACATCTTGCGGAGGACTAAGTAATGCTACCCTAGTGAGTTCGTCAATCTTCCGTCGAGCTTGCACCAATTCTCGAACGTTAACAATGCAAGTCTGGCACGTATTTTCAGCTTCAGACGACGCCGTATAAGAGTGCCGCCGCGGTTCACCCATTTTTAGTGACCAAAACCTGGCTATAGTTGAGTACTGTGCCTCCTCAGGTGAGCAACTCTGTATACACCACCAACCCTGGCATTCTATCCACTGTGAGCAACTGAAAATGTTCAACCCTACACTGATGATATTAGTTGCGCTCTAGCAAGTAGGTAAGGCTTTACACAGTTGCACGCATACACAAAAGGCTCTTCCGTGCCTGGGATGATTGCAGTAACAAAAGCTGTCCACGCGACTCGACGGTGGCGCATGCAAGGCATACGATAAATCTGAACAATCCCTTCGAAAGCAAGTCCACGACGGGAGCCCAAGTCCTGCTACCGTACATTCTCGGTAATACTAAGCGTTGCCTTTAGTATGCCTGAGCCGGCTGATAGCTACATAAGGTACTGAATCGGCCAGTAGAGACAGCGGGAACCTCGACATCAACACAGGGGTTGAGGAGGAGCATCCCGATTAGCATGTGCCGAGCTGGGTAAGTGTTATCCACGAAGAACAGGAAGGAAGCTGAACTAGACCCGACGTGTATGCCATAGGGCCCAATGTCCGACCATAGGGCATATGGATCGGACAAAGTCTGTGTATAGAATCGAGTGCACCGCCCTACGTGTAACGCATGCAGCCCTAGACACCCTACAATAGGATGTCAACACAACAATGCAACGATAAGTCTACAGTACGAATCGCTGCTGTATGATAGCAACATAGAAGGGCCTTGACGCCAGAGCCGTCGATCCGAGCATACATGCAGTCTCGATTATCACCGGCGAGTGACACCCCCAGCTACGATACGCCAACACATGCAATGGCCACAGGTTCAATACGCTCCATAATGCGAGAACAAGCACCGTACTGACACTGTCATCATTGCACGATTCTACCACCAAACACTTGTGGTGCTATTCCTACCATAGTCCCAGTCACCGAAAGACGACACATTCCCCAGCGAGGAACGTCGTCGCTGATGCCGAAGAGAAGACATGTTGAAGAGAAGGTGAAGAACCTGACTGTTGCCCGTCCCCTCCCCTTCCATCACAACACACATCACAAGTAGACGATCATATAACTAATACGATATCAACGAGAAAAGCAGTTCTTTATGGACACCCTAGTAATAACTCGTACTTCATCCCTGTACTCACACTAGCAGGAAAATGAAGGACAGCTGTAGCAACAGTGATAGTAGCAAACACTCCGAATGCTACTACGTGGGTAATTTTATAATGAACTAGTGGTAGTAAGTATTCTAGTAATGATGATGAGTGGCCACAGCGCAAACGGTTCACAGACCAAGGTGCCCAGGTGGCAGAATGGGGTAGAGAAAATCCTCCTTCTAAAGACCCTAGGAGGTAAGCTAATGAATCCTGTGCTTCCGCTACACGCCGCACCACGACACTTAAAATAAAATTAATATGACCATCGCCATACCGTAACTGTTGCAAGTTCGATAACAATCTTATAGCCTCACAGATCGAACAGCACAGCCACAAGAGAGGTAAATGAGTGATGACGCTACACTACATGGAAGAGGTTTCTTCACCCCAGCGTAGGCATACGTAGAGCAGTAATAGCCGCGGCGTTAATGAGGTCAAAAGCCTGTAGTACTGCGAGAAGAGCCAAATGCTAAATCATGGAGATACAGAAAGTAAGCACCAGAGTAGGAAGTACTACCACACAGGACATCTACAAACTACGCTGATCCCGACAAGTCACAAGCAAAAACAGCGCGTTTTATAACGAGGAGGAGGCGCTGAGTCAAATAGCTGGGGTAGCAAATCGGCGTCTAACTGCCTCGTTGAGATCGCCAGAACGAGCTTGAGCCGGAGGGCTCAGGTCACCACGACCAACCTTAAGGGCTACTTCATAGTTATCATCTGAGCATAGGAGCGATACTGAGAGTAGCAATACGGTCTACTACTACTACTACTACTACAGCTTACCCAGCATATCGGCAGCAACACGACTCAGCCGAGGGACCTTGTCAGCGAGATCCCTGCATCGTACAAACCTCAGGAAGTCCCGACTTAGACAAATCGCTGATAAGTCATAAATGCCTTGTCCTATAGGCTCTGCAGCCAAGTAGTGTACAATTTGTGGTATGAGCCGACAGCATGAGGGCTCCTGAGAGGGAAAAGAAAGTAGACATTAGCCAGCCCATGTGAACCCACCTTATTGTATCGCATGTATCGACCCAATAAGGCCTGTACTTCGCGTATCACGGCTGACTCGTTCGAGTCGCCGCCCATGTCCGAGCCGATCGCTGCTCTTATAAGAGGACCCAGGGAGAATATCGCCTCAACAGCATTAGGCTGTTCGATAACCCATGCATCAACTGCAGCATCAGCAGACTCGACCAATGCTGCCAACAGCTCCCCTTGTGAGAAGTCATGAGATCCAATGACAAATCGGGGCTTCTTTGTACCAAGGTTGAACATCTAAGAAGGGTGTAAAGCGGATGAGCACAACAGACGGGCTTATTACGACAGAGGCATTGACGAGGCCACTAGGCCTGAGGGTGGTCATAGCCATGTCAGAGAGCGATACGAAGCCATCCTCATCAATGGGAATATACTGGCCAGGTCGGAGATACTGCAACGATAAGAGCACTACTATGCATAGGAGGCTACTAGAGAGTCTACTACCAGGCATAATGATGGAGGTTTCTCAGAAGCTTGTTCGATCTTGCCGACCAACGCCACCAACACATGTTCACATAGACGGGATGACACAGCGAGTATCTGCCCAATACAACCGTTCCCCTGGTAGCCGACGACGACGACGGCGATGCTTAGTATTACCAATATATCGGCCCTCTTTGCCACAGTGGTCAAGTCAACCACTGTACACGGAAGTTGAGCCTCGTCCAATGGCGCATTATCATCACCGTTATCACCAACGAACGAGCCCCATGATGAGCTTGACGATAAGGCGGGAGGCGAGCATAACCTATGGTAAGAGTAATACAGTGTACTCATAGTAATACTAATGCCTACACGACCGTGTCGTCGAACATACTGCTGACTTTGCAACCGAGACACACACTGTCAATGAGAGGGCCACAAGCAACGACGTCGTCGCAGATGATGCCCACCTGACACAAGGGAAAACAATAAACCTACTTATTGGTAGAGTAAAGCTACTTTGGTGGCTATGATAGGCCGTCGGCTTCTCAAGGACTCACTACTACTCCACGACACCAGCTCATCAGGGCTAAGCAGAGGGGAATACTCCGACAGCACCCGTTTTCAGGCGACTTACTTCTTCCCTAGTCTACTCGCAGTACTACAACTACCATAGTGCTTAGACACAGGCTCCCTGTGAAAAGGGCGATCAGATTTCGACCAACCGAAACGATCATTGTTACCCGAAGCCGAGCCGGCTGGCCGTGCTGCTACTCCTGATCCTGTTATTGTCGATCACATAAGAACTATACTTAGGCATGCCACTGGCAGTTTCACGGCTATCACCTGTGAAGAGACGATGAGTAAAGACCTGGGCTGAATGCAATATTACGAAGCATGGACCGGGTCTCCTGTACTTCACTTTTTATCACTAATCCTGCTCGGGTTAGCAGATCCTTCAAAAAGGAGAAACAATTTGTTTGACGATTTTCGCTCATTCAGTTTAAACTGCCATAGAAAAGGGATCCTTCGGGACCGTAGACAACAAGCCCGATAAAATCCTCACACATTAATCATAGGTAGCCCACCCCGACACGAGTGTGACCGCTAATTGAGCCGTGACTGAACAAACGGTATCATGAATTTTGCAAATCTCGCGCGCCCCAAAATCGTAAGTGCAAGCGCAGATCTACCATCGTACTGCGCCTTTCACTCTACCCTATATCTCAGCAGTACCTGATGTAGGTATAGAGCGTCAAGATGCTAACCAGTACATGTCGGCACTTGGGGTCGTTGGTCAAGAAAGCAAAGCAGATTCTTGATAATGGATTTAGGGACTTCTGGTCCGAACATTGTCTGAACAACGGTAGATGCATTCGAAAGAGGACAGCCACAAACCGAATTGGAAGTGTTGGGCTCACGAATACGTCGCGAACGCTGCTCTTTACATGGTAACGGTCGTAGGTTATAATACTAGCCGCTCGGACCGGCAAATTAGCTCCTAGACTAGTTCGGCTAATGCAACCTGGCGAAACAAGAAGGAACACGCATCACGGCGTCGCTGTAGTGATCGTGAAGCTATAGGGTCGATATCTTTTGATCACTTGTTGTGGTATCATATCATGACACTATAATAACCTCTGAATTCTCATTATACTATTTGGTTTATTACCAGCATGTTCGAATCATCGAGTGTATTCGGCTTCCTACTGCTGCTACTGCTGCGGTGTTTATTTTTGTCCGCAGTGTTTTGGTACTGAGGTTCATTCATACGTGAGTCCACTACTGCACTCTTGAGTTCATCTGGGGCAATTCGGTCGATCGTCGGTAAGTAGGTCTTCTTTTCTCACGTGAGTTGCCTCGGATCGGCACTCAGTGATGTCGGGCCTTATTCGGCCTGCATTAGTGTGGATGCCTGCGGCTGTAGTAGCAGCTGTGAAGGTTGTCGAAGTACACTCCACGCAGTCTCGATATGTCAGCATTATCTCTTCCTACAGGTCGCCCGTAGAACACGCTGTGAGGGATCAGTTGTTGCCCCTGTTGGTGCAGAAAGCTCTCAGCTACTACTACCCGTGAGTAAGGCGAGTACAAGTCCCATGTAGTCGTACCCATCAGGCTTCACGACCAGCACCGACCCGGCCGATGCCAAGTGCTAGGATCGGCTGCCATCAATATGCAGCCAACGCTCCCTGTGAAGATCGGCTAGCATTACAACAATTCCCTTGCGGAATCATGTGCGCCTGTGTTTTCGATGGACATGGTGGCTGGCAGGTTGCCGAGTACTGTTGTTATCTTGGTCACTATCACAGGGAGAGTATTGATTAGATATCTCCGTGGTCGTCTACCGTCGCTTCTGGCTAGCCGATTGTCGCATAAGGCGGGGCATATAGACTCCCGTGTAATCGAATCGGCATGCAGGGAGGCATTTATGGTAGCGGATCAAGGATTGGAAGAACATGCACGAGAAGCTCAGAAGTGAGGTCTCTCGATTCACCCGGATTTGCTCTTTTTGTGGTACGCTTTCTCTTTCTAGGTTGGGATTTTCCCAGCCTGTCAAGACCGGCGCATGTGGGTTGGCATTGCTCATCACACAGACCAGTTTGGTGGTGGCGAATGCTGGTGATTGTAAAGCAGTAAGTTTATAAGAGTTGTGAATCTTATGGACCAGCCGTCCCTTCTACAAGGTCCTATACAGAGATCAGTGTCCTGCGTTGGCTCTGAACATGCAGCACAACGCTAGTGATGTACGAGAACAGAGACGGCTTGAACTGGAGCACCCTAATGAGGACAATGTTATAAGGTAGTGGTCACAGCGTTGGTGCTCATGGTATTAGGGTTACTTGTAGGTGTAAGAAGGAGTGGCATGAACCGGTTATAGTAGCTGTTCCTAAGAGTAACTAGGCTCTTTGTAGACTCTTTATCGCGTAGAGTTTCATCGGGCTTAGGCGGTTGGTTGACCGTGAAGTCATGGTTGGGGTACCCAGTCGAGCTGGAAAGACTAGAGCATGTCACGAAGTACTCGGGCTGCTATGTGAAGGGAAGCTTACAGCCTACTCGAAGCTTTGGGGACTTCTATTTGAAAGTAATTTCGTCCCCGCGATATCTTGTCCCCGCGCTACTCTTCATGTCAGTGTTGGGATGTATGTCCGTTTTCCTCAGCTGAGCTCAGGATTTCTCAAAAATTCCTCAGAGTTTTCGTATTGTCACCACCACATGTGGTTGACCCTGTGCGTACTTTTCTACACTGGTCTATGCATTTGGCTACATGAGCATATTTGCGGATATGGACGAAATTGTAATTCAGTAGCCTTGACGTATTCTCTCTTGGTTAGTCGGCAGAGTTTCTTCATAATCACACATCTGGGCGGAACTTCCTACCACCTCCCGAGGCCAAGAGATCTGGGCATTCACCTACTACCGCTGAGCCGCTGCAGCATTCCTTCCCGTATATAACAAGCGAGCCAGAAGTGATGGTTTATCCGCGGCATGAAGATGATAAGTAGGGAGATTCATAACACCCGAGCTTGCCTGATGCTGCTGTGTTAGGTTCATAGTACTGGGCAGCGATGGTCTGTGGGATAATGTCACTGATGAAGAAGCTGTAGGGTTCGTAAGGCGACTACTCTTGCCAGAGGACAGTACCTGGAGTGCTAATTCTGGTGAGTTGCTGGAGGCGTCAATGTGGAGGGTCTCATTCGCTCAGTTGCGGAGGCTCTGATAGGGGAAGTGTTGAGTCGAGCAGCAAAGAGAAGCTCGAAGAGCTTGGCGGAGCTGCAAGCTCTACCACAAGGCAATCAACGTCGAAGACTACATGATGATATTTCCGTTTGTATAATCGATCTTCGCTCGACTGGCACTGGGTGAGGCTTTGGGCCTTAGAAGTCCATGGAGATGTTGTTTCAGTGTGAGTCAAAATGCACCAATAAACAGTACATGTTTCATAATTTCTAGCACACTTTGCGTATTGCCTTGATTCGGTAGGGTTTGCGTTGTAGTGTGAGAAGCTGTTGCCTGGCGGCCTTCCAAGTTGGCATGGCTAGCATGCTAGTAGCACTATGTGATCTTGGTAGTCGACAGAGTAATGCTGAGGACCCTGGGGAGCTGGTGGTTGCAGCAGAGATTTGATTACTTCCATATGGTTGTGTTGGAAGATGATGTCGGCAACTCTCCTGATACGACTAACTAGTCGGCAATGGCCAATGACACATTTGCGTTCGAGATGCGCTATAGTCTGGGTTCACGACTCGTGAATTGCAAGTGCGATCCATTCCAGGGCAACAGCAACCAATTCGAACCGACCGAATGCTGTCGGTTGGTCATCTCCCATCTGTATACACGAGTAGGTTGCGTCGCTACGCTCCCAAAATGCTGAGTTTATTATCTTTTGGTATCGCCTCAATGCGCGCCAGTTTTATTTCGGCACGGCACTTGTTTTCTACTTCGCGCCACTTGGACTACAGCTTGGCCTTGGATAACAGTTCGGGTTTCTGGTTTCCCCGTCGGGTTTCGGGTGGGGTCTCGGGTTTCCCTTTCTCCGTTTACACCTGCACTTTTTTGGGAATTTGCAACTTCAGATTCTCACTTGAGTACCGAGTGGCTTAGCAAGAAGAAGGTGACGTTGCCAGGACAGATCATGCAGGATTTGCACGATGTGGAGGGACAGAATCAGATGCGATGTGAAATCGAATCATAGGAAGAGTGAAAGAGCTTGAGAGAAACTGAGAGCGAGAGGCGACTCAACTGAGTGCACTGGATATGTGGAGGTGGTTCTGCTGCACTGGGATTATATTATTGAGAATTGTGGAAGAAATGAGACAACTGTGAATTTTTCACGCACGATTATACTGAGCTCAAGTAGAAGTATTAATTCGGGTGTTTAACCTCTGCTTACGTTTTAAGAGCGCCCCCCAGATCGTCTCCCGAGAACTTTAATACTGGGAGCTATTGAACACCCTCACCCATTGTGGGTGCATAACGTAACACCCCAAATGAACGCGTATGCAAACTTATTTATGGGCGAGCGCTCATATCTTTTCACTATCATTTATGTGACGCGGCTGGTTTTAACTCTACGCCTGATTCGAACCATGCCTGGCATATCATCGACATTGAGTATGGTCCGACATAGTTCGCCCTGTTTTTACTAACGTTGTTTGATCGTACTATTGAAATCATCATGGGCTCATTGAGTTGGGGGGGGTTCACGATCCTGTTATTAGTTCATTTTGAATGGCTAACCAAAACAACAACTCGTCATTTACTTTGAGCTATGCCGAGTTCAAAGCCGATTCAGAGAGGAAACATGCACACTTCGGGGATGTAGCATAGCTCTATGGGGAAGTAGTGAGTTTAAGCGTATAATATCAGGTTCCCGACCCTTCGGTGAAAAGAAGTCACACTTCAGATGTGGTACCACCACAGGAGAGCCGGTTTGTGCGGCCTCGTACTGACTCTGAATTCAGGGATGCGTCTCCTACCAGAATTCCTCGAGATGTTTACGAGGAAGTGAGTGTTGATAACGATATGGCAGTTTATGTCGATATTGGCGGTTTTCAGCAAAACGTGAAGCGTGCTGCGACGGACGGCGCATTGGCCTTGGAAGCCACTCGAGCACAAGTAGAGTTGGCATT